GCGCGCAAGAGAACGGCTGGGGCGACGGGGGCGGCCTACTGAGATGGCAGGGCTCCTGAGTGGACCAGCCCCCTCCGAAAGATTCTAGAGATGGCTCCTCAGAGTACAGGGGGGGCTCTTGAAAGCGCAGCGCCCTCTGTCTCTGAGGGCCGCACCCTTCGTTCGTGTCCCATCCCCCCCCTCTTCTGCGCGCCGCCGACCTCAGCGGCGGCCCCGCTCGCGCAGTCGAAGGCCCACAGGATCCGCAGAAGCCCAGTGATCGGGCCAGCCAGGCGAAAGGAGCGCAGGGAGGGGGAATCGAACCCGAAAGCGATCCCAGGTTTGGGCCGGAAACCAAACAACACCACCCCACTTACGACCCAGCGGTGCTGACCTATTAGGCACGTGCCCACCTACGACCATCTGCGGCTAACCAGTCGACACCACCCCACCCACGACACGCCTACGACCCACCAGGTCCTATAGGTGCGGTGGTGCCGACCGGTTCCTGTCTTTTGGCGGGGCACTTCCCGTCGGAATTCCCGCCGCGCCATCCAGGGCGAGGAGCTGCCGCCCGCGCGACTGTACCCGGCTCGCGCGCTGGCCTTCTCTGGGCAAGCACCCGCCCATGCGTGTCATTTGGAAATGGCAGAGAGAGAGAGAGAGAGAGAGAGAGATAGAGAGAGAGAGAGAGAGAAAGAGGGAGAGAGAGATCCTCCCTCTCCCCATCCTCCTCCTCCTCCTCCTCCTCCTCCTGCTCCTCCTCCTCGTCCTGTCCTCCTCCTCCTTCCTCCTCCTTCTGTTCCTCCTCTCGTCGTGGACGCGGGGGGGGGCCTGACGCTTCCCCCCCAGGACGCACGACCGCATGCCAGCTTCACACGCACGGAGACAAAGTCAAGATGCGCACCTAGCTCGCTCTACGAGAGTATGCGCGCGAACGACTCCGCTGCGCAGCCCGCGCCCTCACCTGCCAGCAAGACACATTGTATGAATAGACTGTGGACGGAGTGTGGCTTACTTGCGAACAGAGCGCGAGCTGTTGGGAGCCATTGGTGTGTCTGTCGCAGTGGCATCGTGGTGCTATGGTCTCATTGCGTCGCGGTGACGTGATGGTGCCGCGGCGCGGTGTCACGATGTCGAGGTGCCACGTTGTGCCGCGATGTCGCTCCACATACAATATGATGGAACGTTGCCAGTTCGGTGCAAGTGATTATATATATGTGTGTATATGTAGATATCTATATATATAGGGTGCTGTGTGTACGTGAAGTGTGGATCAGCTGCGGGCATATTGCGAAAGAGGTAAAAGACCAGTGGCCCTATTGGACGCCCATCTATCGAGTTGAGTGGTGCAGCTGTGTCAGTTGTGATTGAGATTCAAGGTGCTGGTATTGTGAATTAGTGATGCAACTCATATGGTATCAAAGGTGATGAGGCATGATTGCGTGAAGCAACTGCACACCAAGTGCCGCAACTGTGCACCAGGTGTGTTTCCACTGCTGTGGGCCAACTGTTGACCATCATGTATGAAGCAGTCGCGGTACGATTGCGTCCTGGACGGATGCCTCATCAAATGGACTCGGACAGCGAATGGTGGACAGATGTGCAGATGGATAGAACAATGAAACATTGAAATCAAGCGCCGCTCCAATACTTTGCAGAAGGCCGCTGTGATATGTGTTCACGAAGAAGGGAACACGCATGCATGTTGTGTTGTGTGTGATCGTATGATGTGCCTTAGTGTTGTTCCCGGTGCACCCCATGCTCGCTCTCATTCTAATTTCTTGAGCCTTTCGCTCACCCGATGCCTGCTCGCTGTAACTCTGTGGCTCTCTCTCTCACTCTCTCGTGCCTCCACCCATGCATATGCAACTTATTATACCGTAGTGCTTCTGACCTGGGCCTCCTCCCGCCTTCTGCCTCCGCGGCCGCTCTCCCCTGTTTCACTTGCATTGGCGTGCCCTAGTTCGGCGCGCCCCGCCGGCTTCTAGATTCTAGACGCACTTGCGACCGCCAGCGCTGCAGACCAACAAAAAAGAAAGTGTCTTGCCACACTCCCCTTCTCCCTCCCTCCCTCCCTCTCTCTCTCTCTCTCTCTCTCTCCCCCTCCCTCTCCCTCTCTGCCGCCATCTCCCCGTGCCCATACTATTTCACTGGTCTCCCTCTTGACTCGCTCTAGAATCACCCTCCGTCACCGTCAAGTCAAGACGCGGAGCCGCGAAGCGCTGTAAATATCATCCAGAGGCTCAGCGGCAAGGTCGCACAGCAGGGGAGGGCCGCACCCCCGCCTCGACATCAGCCCGACCATGGCCGCGCGGAACACGCCCTGCACCTCCGGCGCGGCCATGGTGCCGCCAGCCCCGCGCGCGCCCCCCGAGAGTGCCGCGAGCGCCCGCAGGAGGTCGCCCAGCACCTCCTGGCTGCTGGCCTGCAGCAGCGCCCTCATGTGCGCGCCCGCTTCGCGCACGACCGCGGAGGCGGCGGCCCGAAGACCGGCACCCGCGGCCGCGGCGTCGCCGTCCTGCGGGGGAGCGGTGCCAAGCACGGCGCACGCATATCAATGCCCGCGCCCTCGCGGTCTCTGGAGCCCGGGGCGCGAGCCCGCGGCTACGCAGGCGCACGGCCGCGAGAAGTGCGCCCCGGCGAGAATCAAGGACGATCGAACAGGCTTAGCCGCGAGAAGCGCGCCCCGCATCCCTGGGCCCATCCCCGCGAGGCCGTGGGGCTGCAGACGCGTCTCCAGCCCCCCTGGAAGCGGCCTGGCATCGGCCTGTTGGAGGCCTGGAATTTGGCCAGAATATTACTAGCCGGCCGCTCTGCGGTTGATCGGGAGTTTCTGTATATAGAAGAAGGTGCGTGCGCTTGTTGGCGAGGGTGAGGATGAGGTTCCTCCTCCTCCTCCTCCTCCTCCTCCTCCTCCATCCTTCTCTTGCCTCCGTCTGTCCTCCTCCACCCCACAGCTCCATCATCTTCTCCTCCTCCTCCTCCTCCTCCTCCTCCTCCTCCTCCTCCTCCTCCTCATTCCTCCTCTGGGCACCTCCCCCGGGGCGCGGATCCACCGGATCTGTCCGGATCTGTCCGGAAACGGTGCCGGAGGCCGCTCTGGGCTCCTCTGGGCACCTCCCCCGGGGCCGGTTTTGTGAGGATGTCTCAAGCGAGGGCGCCGGTTTGGGATTCGTCGGCGGATCCACCGGATCCAGCGGATCTGTCCGGAAACGGTGCCGGAGGCCGCTCTGGGCTCCATGGGCACCTCCCCCGGGGCCGGTTTGGGATTCGTCGGCGGATCCACCGGATCCAGCGGATCTGTCCGGAAACGGTGCCGGAGGCCGCTCTGGGCTCCTCTGGGCACCTCCCCCGGGGCCGGTTTTGTGAGGATGTCTCAAGCGAGGGCGCCGGTTTGGGATTCGTCGGCGGATCCACCGGATCTGTCCGGAAACGGTGCCGGAGGCCGCTCTGGGCTCCTCTGGGCACCTCCCCCGGGGCCGGTTTTGTGAGGATGTCTCAAGCGAGGGCGCCGGTTTGGGATTCGTCATCCACCGGATCCAGCGGATCTGTCCGGAAACGGTGCCGGAGGCCGCTCTGGGCTCCTCTGGGCACCTCCCCCGGGGCCGGTTTTGTGAGGATGTCTCAAGCGAGGGCGCCGGTTTGGGATTCGTCACCGGATCCACCGGATCTGTCCGGAAACGGTGCCGGAGGCCGCTCTGGGCTCCTCTGGGCACCTCCCCCGGGGCCGGTTTTGTGAGGATGTCTCAAGCGAGGGCGCCGGTTTGGGATTCGTCAGCGGATCCACCGGATCTGTCCGGAAACGGTGCCGGAGGCCGCTCTGGGCTCCTCTGGGCACCTCCCCCGGGGCCGGTTTTGTGAGGATGTCTCAAGCGAGGGCGCCGGTTTGGGATTCGTGCGGATCCACCGGATCTGTCCGGAAACGGTGCCGGAGGCCGCTCTGCTACCATGTTTTTTTCGGTTGTGGTGCCTTATAAGTGGTTAGGCGGCGTTACACAACCAACTTATAACCAATGTACAACTTGTTATAAAGTTTATAACACAAATAACTTTATAATGCGGCCCATAAGGTCTAACAAACATATAACGCAAACTAAAAGTTATAAGTTCCACAAGGCGATCACAAGTGGTATGTTAAGGCCAACATAAGGTTTCATCGAAAACTTATAAACACTTATACAACTTATCAAAAAGTTATGAAACACTTATAAACACTTATGAAATTTATGTTGGCACTTACGGAACACTTATGAAAACATCGTATGGGCGATCTCGGGTCTTTACAAAATGCACAGCATATCTGTCATACGTACTTACAGGTTACCTATGAAAACTCATGTTGGCCGTAACATTGCTCATATGACCGCCTTCGCAAAACTCATGACTTCTAGTTCGTGCAGGAAGTGTTGGGGGCCGTTCGGGTCGCATTATAAAGTTACGCGGGCTGTATGTTGCCTATATCACGTTGCACGCGGTTATTGTGAACCTAGCATTGCCGCCGCGTGCGCTGAGCGGGTCCGCCGAGGTTTCGACGCGTTGCCGTCCGCGCCGCCTCGTTGCCGCCTCGTGCGCTGGGTGGGTCTGCGGAGGATTCGCCACGCTGTTGCACGTGTCGCCTCGCTGCCGCCTCGGGTGGGTCCGCCGAGGTTTCGCCAGGTCGCTGCCCGTGCCGCCTCTCTGCCTCCCGAGCGGGGCGGCGGAATCGCGCGGCAGCGCCGCTGGAATATGTACAAGAACGTTGTTATCGCGTTGATTGTGATGGTAGTGGTGATGATGAATAGGTTGATGATGTTAATGATGTTGATGTTGATGATGATGATGTTGATGATGTTGATGTTAATGATGGTGATGTTGGTTTGTGGTGATATTGATGTGAAATCGGTGGGTTAGTGATGTTAGTGATGTTGATTGGTGGCGATTGGTAGTTGGTGATGTACATTCTAGTTGTTCGTGTTGGTGATGCGTAATGATGCTGATGCTGGTGAAAGTGATGATGTTTTTTTTCGTGCAGGCCGTGTTTCCTGTCGGAGCCACCGCCTACTGCGCGCTGGGGCCACCGCCCGACGGCCGCGAAAGCAGCACATCTCTATGCCTGTGCAGCCTGCGGGCAAAATTGCGTAAATCGCTCATCCGCTCGTCCAGAGTGCGGCGTCGCTTTGGGCGGTGATCTTCGCTCTCGTCGCACTCGGTCGTGCTGCCGTCGCAGACCGACTTGTCGTCGAGCTCCTCCGCGGCCTCGGCGAGCGCGTCCTGGTTGGCTGCGCCGTCCGAGGCGGCCTGGTCGGCGAGCCCCTTAGCGGCCTGGTCGGCGAGCACGTCCTGGCTGCCGTCCGAGGCGGCCCGGTCTGCGAGCTCCCCCGCAGCGGCCTGGTCGGTGACGGCTGCACCGTCCGAGGCGGCCTTGTCGGCGAGCTCCCCCGTAGCGGCCTGGTCGGCGAGCACGTCCTGGTTGGGGGGCTTGTCCGAGGCGGCCTTGTCGGCGAGCTCCCCCGTAGCGGCCTGGTCGGCGAGCCTGTCCTGGTTGGCTGCAGCGTCGGAGGCGGCCTTGTCCTGGTCGGCGAGCGCGTCCTGGTTGGCTGCAGCGTCCGAGGCAGCCTGGTCGGCGAGCCCCCCCGAGTCGGCCTGCCTGATGCCCCTGCAAAAATCGAGCGCAACCTGCTGGATGTCGAGCTCCTCCGACGCGGCCTGGTCGGCAAGCCCTACCTCAGCGTCGCCGTCGCCGCCGCCGCGCGGCCTCAGCCAAGGCGGCCTGGCGGCACCGCTGCGCGGCTGCAGCAGGATGGGGTCGGTGATACGCGGCCGCAACAAAGGAATGAACTCGCCACGAGAGTTCACGCACCGTATTGGGGCGAGAAAGCGGGGAGCCCCGCGAATATGCATTCGGACTCGGAAACGGCTGCGGCATGGCGGCGATGAAAGACGGCAGCGAGTGGAGTTTGATGTTTGATGTTTGATATGTTATTGTTTACTGTTTGACGTTTGATGTTTGATGCGATGCGTGTTTGATGTTTGATTGACATTTTATGTTTGATGTTCGATGTCATTGCTTTATGGTTTTATTGCGTTGTTGGTTTCTTGCTGTATTTTTTGATTGTTTGATGTTTGATGTTTGATGTTTGATGCAAGTGGCAAGTGCTTTATTGTTTGATGTTTGATGTTGGATGTTTGATGCGATGCGTGTTTACATTGTTTTACTGCACGTGGCTAGGCTAGGGGTCGTGCAACAACGCAGGCGTGATCAAGCCACCAACGTCTGCAAAAAACACGTTCCCTACAATTGCTGGCGACCGCACGACGCACACCTCGGCGCCTTGCCTCGCCCAAGTCGACGGGCTGAGCGCCCTGCAGGGTCGCGCGATGGCAACGTATTCGGGGCGGGCTCCATCTGCGCGCGCGCGAAGCCTAAAGCACACCCGACGCGCATAAGCCCATTCTCGCGCCACTGCAGGAGGTCTCCCTTCGCGAGTTGCCCCGTCGGTGAATTCAAAAGGAGTGCCCAGGCTGTGCACTGGATATGGCGCTGGTCTGAAGTCGCGAAAGTCACGTTGCATGCATGGACGCACCCACGCAGACTGTATGGCTCCACCGTGTCGGCCCTCCCCAATCCTTTCACCAACTTCTGCAAATCACATGCGAGAACTGGTTTTCGGACTATGGTTAAAAGCGTAGCCGTGCACGCGCTTCATCAGCTTGTGGTGACGTTCAGGGCCACAGCAAGACAGGAGAACTTTCCACCGAACCCAAAACTCAGGCAAGTGTTTCTGCTGGTGCATCTTGCTTTTCACAGACATCGGATACAGCCTCGCGAACAGTTCGTGGTGAGTCCGCATGGCGCCCTGCAGTGTCGGTACGTCGGCAAGGCAGCCCCTCTGGAATATAGCCAATATAACCCGAAGCAATGCGAAACAGTCCAATGCTCGCTGCAGCCCTGGGATGTTTTGCGGCGCCACAACCATATCAATAAAAAGCCCCAAAACTACAACAGCTGAAAGCGCCTCCGCTGCAAAGCCTTTCAGGTGCTTACCAGGCGCCGCGACGATGCGGTCCGCGAAAAATTTCCGCCCTAAGCTCTTCGAGTTTCTCGGCGCAGTGACTTGGCTACACCATGCATCTATGTCATGCTTGGTAATGCCGTGACCGCATATCAAGTTCACGAGCCCGTTGACCTCGTACTGCGCCGCTCCCCCTGACGCCACATACACGTGCATCCAGTCTGGATATTCGCACCAGGGCGGGCGCAGCGTGGACCTCACGAGGTCGTCCCACAGCACGCCTTCAGGGTCCCACTTGATGCCTGTGGACTGTTGCGCGCGCGCGAGGTTTCCTCCGCCCTGCGCGCACGCCTGCACGTCCCTGGCCAGCTCGTGCTTGCTCTCGGGCGTGTGCGGGTCCATGCGGTCGTACTCTGCGCTGTCCACGTGGACTAGGTAGGCGTGCTGAAAGGGGGGGCACCGCCCCAGCACATTGCGGCACCATCCGCAGGGCACGCTACCGTTGAAACCCATGTGGTTGAAGGCC